CACACACGCATACACGGATGTATACCGAGAGAAAAGTTCGTTGGACTGACGCGTATCAAGGCGTTGGTCGAATGACACATTTTAAGATAAGAAAAGGTCGATCGGGGACGTAGTTATCTTCTTTATATCGTTTCTCGCATTTCCTTCTTCCCGCGCCTCGCGAGGCCGCGAGACCGAAACGATGATAGATGAAGAGAGCCGAGAACATAGTCCTGTGAGGCCCGCGATTAAACTTCGCCACTCTCTTCTCTCTTCTTCAACGCGGGCCTCCCCCTCGCGGGGTGGAAGAGGGAACGCAACACCGCGCTCGTCCCCGTCGTCCTTTTGCTTCTCATCGCGAGAAAGAGAAGTAATTTACAGGGAGGAAGATAAAGAAAACGAGAGAGACGACCGGACGGCGAAAACCCAGTTGAGAAGAAAAGGAACGTCGTCTTAAGCTCTAATTCTAATGTCGTAGAACATTGAATTTTTGTACCAAAATCTATTGTAGTCCTTAAGTGTCGCATACACTTACCTTTCCGTTCGACGTTGCCGGCCACGGGCTTACCCTACTTATTCTCTAGTTTTTGTTGCGAAACACGCCGCGGGGAAACGGGGCGAGAAAAAGCCGGGCCGGAAATACGCCTCTCGCAAGTTCTTCGATCGCTACATTAAAGCCCCCTCGGGCCGTCAGCGCGATCGTACGTGCGCTTCTCCGCGCTCGAATAAATCAACGTCTCGCGTGCCGCCGCGAGGCGAACTCCGAGTGGCGAAGTGGAGCACGAGAACGCGCGATACCGCGGTTACTAATCGCGGTCCGGGAGCATTGAGGAAAACTCTCCGAGTGATATAGCTACGATCGACCCCGATCCGCATCCAAGTCGAGCACCAGGAACACCGCGTGCCGATTCCCGAGAGTCGCGGTACGAATTTTCACGAAGTCAAACGCTTTATTTCGAGAATGATGCTTGTGACCGTCCTAACAGTACGTCGATGTGCTCTTATGCGTAGATAACGCGAGTTAGGTGTCTGTGTTTTTTTTTTCTTTTTTCATTCTCATTCTCTTCTCGGAGAGAATAGAAGCTATACACGAGAGATATTCGCGTACGAGCGTGATACGACGCCGCCGTCGTCGTCGTCATCGTCGTCGTCGTCGTCGTCGGAGAGATGAAATACGAGTGAGACGCGGTGACCCAGAAATAGATCTCTATCAGGTCGCGAGGATTCCAATTCCGACATGATCCATCCGCGTTGCCGCGCCGTCGAACGGTCTCGAAAAATTCTTTGTGAAAACGGGAAGACATCTCAGAAATCGATTACACGTACCTCTGTGTAAAAGGAATGGAAGGAGAAAGAAACAGTGCGAGGGGAGGGAAAAAGAGATTGAGACCAGGTCACCGGAAAACGATTTCGAGACGTGCGGCAAACGAAGTGTTATCGAGGAACTTTTTAGACGAGAAACTAGGCGTCGAAGATTGTAAAATGATATCAGCCCCGCGAATAACCGTTGTATAACCGTTGTGATTTTAACCCTCTACCGCTTTAATCCCCACTGAGAGCGAAC